GTCTGTTGCTGAATGGGGTGGGTGCAGTCCTTTCCCTGTGCCCTTGCCCGGTCATTGTAGCCTGCCTGTTCTGTAAGTCCTCTGCCCTTCTTTCTGATAACAAAGACCTGAGCTGGAGGCAACAGGTGGGGCTGATTTCTCCCTCTGGGCATGGAGGAGGTACACACTTCCTGCCTCTCCTGTGAGTGGTGACGGGGTGGATTTTCTGGGCTGACTTCAGTTTTTGCGATAGTATTCCCACCTCTTCAGGCCATCAGGAGTCAGCTGTTCCACACATACAACCTGGCCATCTCATGGCCTTTTTGGAAGTGCGCAGTTAACACGTGCTGGCCTAAGCCCTGATTCAGCACCGAGCCTGTGCACGTGGGTGACTCCAAGCATCTGAGTAAGTACTTTGCTGAATGGGACCTTTGCTGCTTCTCGCACTGGCTCCAGCAAGACTATCTTATCAGCTCCCCTCTGAATCACAGTGGAGTTGACCCGCCTAGACTTTGACACCCGATAAGGAGATGGGTTGTTGCCTGGCTTCAATACATCTCAGCCCCTGCATTTTTTTTTTTGTGGGTTTTTTTTTTTTTTTTTTGTGTGTGTGCCTATACTGCTGTTCCCTTGCTGCCCCACTAGCCTGGCTTGTAGTCAGGCACGTGCTAGTTCAGCTGTGTGTCATGAGCTGTGCTGGGTGGATTTTCTCTTTTCCCTGCAGTTGGGGTGTGAGATGAGTTATGAAAGTGTGCAGGCCTATGGTAGGAGTGGGCTGGAACGGTGGGGAGGGAAGGGGATGCTAAAATTAGAGTGAAGGCACAGAAGGATTGAGGGCTACTAGGAAACCAAAAGAAACTGATAAGTTGCTTTTAACAGGAGCTGTGGAGTTTGGCCCCTAGTGACATCCTCAATTGTGTGTAAATCCACAGCCCTCCTTTGGTAAAAATGGTGCTTTACTGATGGGTGGGATGTGATTAGCTGGCTCAGGGTCATCTAAATCAGTGGGGGGGACACAACCTATCTGGTAGGCGTATCATAAATTAACCTCACACCGTCCCTGAGTGCCGCTCCGGTTCCCCTTCCCCTGCCCGGTCTGCTGCTCTGCTTTCTGCCCTGTCTATCACTGCATCACCTCTTACCTCCCCGGTCTGCCACATGCTGCACACCCAGGCTGCCCCTGATCTGAACAGTCCCACGCAGTCTTGCATAACTGTCATTAGCCCTTGGGAACCAGCCCTGCTCCTCCACCCTGTACTTTACAGGGTGGGAGCGTGCATTGGAGAACAGAGAGTCCCTGAGTGAGCTCTTGCTCCAAAGGAAACAAACGCTGCGTGTTGTAGGCAGGTAGAGCTTCGCAAGGCTGCCGGGGAAGGACTCGGGATGAATTGTAGTTGCAGGGGGTCGCACAATGCCCCATATCCCTACAGCTTGCAAGTCTTGTGCATTTTAACATCTCAAATGCACAAGAGATGGCTTCACTTTTGCCAGTAGTTGCAAAGCCAGCAAGCTCTCCCCCCCGGGATGTCTGCTTGGAGCCGGTTCCTGTCAGATCCGAAGGGTGCAGACTAGCTAGCACCAGCGCATGTTTCTGTGGTCTCGGATGCTTTCCTCCCTACTCACGTGACTACTAATTGAAGTAACCATCACTTCTTCCCCTCTTCCCTCCCAAACCTATGCCATATTCTGACCTTTTGAACACAGTTTCTCCCTGTCTATTAATAGTGGGTAGAAATGTCAGGCACATGACCAGCTTGAGAGGCCTGCCTGCTTTGGCCTTTAAAGAGAAAAATCCATGTTCCCTAGTCTTGGATTCGCATTCGTTCATGATTTGGATCCTAACAAGGCCGCTAGCAGAGATGATCACGTTCCACCGGGCGTTCGCTGCCCCAGGGGTTGCAGGGGGCACGAGGAGCAGAGTTGCCATAACCCAATCAGAGCAAAGTCTTCAGCGAGGTGGAAAGTTGCGTGTGTTGTAGTAACTTATTTCTAGATGTCCGTTGCTACCCACGGTCACTGGGCTAGTGCTAACACTGGGCCGTGCTGATTTGGGAGAGGGCAGCAGTTGGATCAGGGCTCCCCAGGCTGGTTCAGCAGTGGGGGCAAGTATTGCATGCACACCTTTCTTCCCCACCCTGTAACTTTTCTGATCGGGAAGAGTGGGTCAAGGAGGGCCTTGGATCTGCTCTAAAAACTCCAACAGGCTGAAGGTGTAGGGGGGGAAGAAGCAGCATTCGGAGGCTTCAGCATTTCTTGCCTAGTTGGAGCGAGATGCTGAAGGGAGCAGATCCCTTGCATTCGTGCCAGGCTTTTTGTGGAAACCGTTTAGCCCTGGGTGGGGGAGGCTGTGGTTTGCAAATCACTTTGTTTCTTCTAAGAGCTGAAACTCAGTGAAATTTCCTTTTGCTAGCCTAGTTCCCTCCGCCCACCACAGGCGCAGCGCCGGTGCGATACAGGCAGCGTTCGGTTCAGCCCTCTGTTCTCGGGGTCTGGACAGAAATCCCTCCCACCAGTAATGCCTAGTAAAGAAGGGGTAATGAATTGGGAAAACCATGGACAAAGGCCTGATTTGGGAAGGAACAGTGAGGAAAAACTAGACTAGAGGGCTTTGGGGTTACCGTCTTGTGTAGGTTACTGACTGGCAAGAGCGTGATCCAGGCAACCGGGGTTTTATACTCCTGCTGATGCTTTAGCTCCTAGATTTTGCTGCAATTCCAGCCTCATTTTATATAATAGTTTAAATTAGCCTGTAAACTTGCCAATCAAATAGCATACAAAGAAAGGATAAGAGACACCTCATCACAATACTGGCCAAATCATGTAGCAGGGGTAGCGGGAACTGATTTGACAGAAGGCTGGTGATATGCTTTTTTCTGCCTGACACCTCCAGGTTGTCTGGTAAGCTCGAGTCAAGCTAATAGATAAGTTTCTGTGACCTTTCAAAATTCCCCTGCAGTGTCTGTCATTAAGGCCTGGCAGCCCAGCGCTGAACACAGGCAAATGGGGGGGGAAATTGCCCCCATCATTTTACTGTTCAACAAGTTTGAAAGAAAAAGAAATCGCACCCTGTCCCCCCACGGCAGAGGGACAGCTCCAGTCGGACGTCAAGAACGCAAAGCGCTGGTTGCAGCTGCCGAAGCAGATCTGTTTTTTTTAAACTTACCGTTACAATACCTGGGTGGACTAGAGCAGAGCAGCAACACGAAACATTTTGGTCAGCTTTACTGGCGCAGCGGGTTGCAGTTGAATATAGTCAGTTCTGCTCTTCCTCCCTGAAATTAGCCCCAGACGTGGCCCTTCTCCTGCTGCTGCTGTGTGAGATTTTATAGGGGAGAATGACTAAGCCCAAAATTGTGGTAGGGGGAGGCAGCTTGGATGAGCTGAGGCACCCCAAACTATTGCCTAGCATGATGGAAGCCCCTCGGTGCTATTCTCCTCCTGCTGAGTAAAGGAGGCCTGGGGTGTGAAGGAGCTTTAATTTAACCTGACGGTGTCCCAAGTGCTTGCGGCAGCATCGGGAAATGGGGGTCATGCGCCCAGCACGGTTGTTGAAGCAGAACAGGCTGGGGCTAGGGTGGGACGGCGCTCACTGTACTTCACCCGAAGGCCGGCGGAGGGAGAGTCTCTCCTTACAGACGCACCTTAAACCCTCGAGCCGCTTAAAGGCGGTGCTGAGAGGAGGCTTCTGCTGCTTTTCCCAGGGCTGCAGGAGGCTGTGCCTTTTTGGAGAGGGATCTAGGCAACCCTGGTATTTTATCCCTTTCTTTTTAGGGACCCAATGCACGAAGCAGTCAGCTTTGAGCTGAACTCCAGCTCTCCAAGTACATGGGGTCCCTCCAAGTTGAACACCTTGGGGCAGCTATTTTGTAGCCTGGAGGCTGGGGACGCAGGCTTACTCCCTGCTCCCCAGCAGGGTCTCTAGTAGCCTGGCAGGTAGCACATAAGTGCCTGCACGGCTGCGTGGGCTACTGTGGGTGAGAAGCATGGCTTAGGTGGCATTGCCATGCTCTATTCCTCCTGGGGGAGGGAGAGACAAGCCACCCCAAGGCCTAATGCTGCCTTGGCCCTTGTCTGCCTCAGTTCTGCCAGCAACCAGCCATCCAGGAGGTACCTCTAGCTAATCTGTCCGGCAGTGGCCACCTCTAGTCTCCTGGCATTGGTGTCGGAGCTCCACAACAGCAGTGCTTGTGGGGCGTGGAGGGTGTGGGAGGTTCCTGCCCTGTTAATGTTTACTTTTCAGTTGCAATCACAAGGATAATTGAGGAGTGATGGGAAAAACTGTAATAATTGACCAAACTTGGGGGGTGGGGGGGGTGCAGCCCGGCATATGATTAATAATACTTGGCAAGCATAACAATCGCTGTTGTCAGGGCCCCTGGCAAGCTAATCCTCCCAGGTGAATAAGCACGAACCTCAGCAGGGAGAAGTGGAGTTGCAAAAGGGCTAAGATGGTCCAAGACCTCAGGCCGAAGTGGGTGATGCGGCAGAGCGAGTGCCCAGGTCCTCCTGTCGGACCACTGCGGCCCAGCACACCCGGGGGGGGGGGGGGGGGGGTTCCCGCGGGGGGCCGCAAATTGACAGGGGCCTTGGG